GCTCTTTTAACTGCATTCTTCAGGGGTTGTGTTATTATTTCGCTGATGTTGTCACCGAGGAACTGCAGTTTTATGAACATTAGCTTTTTCGGAACTGTTTTAAACAAGGGGTATACCCAACGCTCTGAAAATAAAGAATGCTTATTTTTTTAAATTTTAACAAAAACTGTACAAAATCATCTTTCTGCTCGCTACAGATTTGCTCTTTATAGAAAAAAGTGGTAGGCAGGTGAGAGTTACGATAGATGTACGTAATATTGACCTAGGAGTGTTGTAGAACTAAAACGTCTCGAAAAGCAATCTCCACTAGCAATGCGTTTAGTCGAAAGCGAAACTAAGCCTGATTTTGACAATATTAAAGCGCCACAAAAGGAAGAACCGAATTTTGAGTATGTTTACGCTTTAACTGCATCAAGTGAAGTAATAAGGAGAAGTGGGATATTTTTTAAGTATTGGTTGTGCAGGGATTTGCTTTGTTTGATTGATTGGAAGAATTAATTATGAGCTGACATCAATTAGAGAACTGGACAGTTGTTTCGCTCCACTTTGGGACCTTTCAGTAGTAAGCACCCATCACAGTCCTAGTGGGAAGGCGTGACCAGTAAGGTACAGCAAGTTGAAGGTGAGGAAGTAACTCATTAAAGAAGACATTGCGAAGTGGTTGCGCTATATCATAAACTGGCAGAATTAAGAATTCATGGGTTGGCCGTTGGATCAGGTACCAGTGGCTTGATGGTCTGCCAGCTAGCTCGCCTTGTAACCAGAAGGTCCTGGGTTCGAACCCCTTGTGGTGGGCGCATACTGATGAAAAGTCCAAAACTAGGACGAAACAGCCGGCTCTCCAGTACTCCCTGTCGATTTTCTAATGGTTGTCTAACTGATGTCAGCTCATGATGAAATCCTCCAACCAAAAAATGGAGTATTTTAGTTGATTAAAGAGGCCAATTACAAATCCGATATGATTCACTAGTGAAGAAAAGATATTCTTTTCAATAACTTCTTCATCAGACTGTACAGTTATATTTTCAGAATAATTAACGAATTATTTTCATTAACAACACATTGATGTTTTCTAAATGATGTCGTATCAATAAGACCATTAGGTTTCAGTTCATAGCCACCTGTAAGTGCTAATATGCTTCAGTTTAGCCTTAAAATGAATATGAGATACATTAAGTGGACGAATAAACAATTTGTGGGTTTGTAGGTTCTACAACAGGTCAGGGTAGTAATAGTGGTTGAACCTGTTTCTTTTGTACACACAGCCCTGGTTGCAATGGATTTTGCTATATGGAGTGTTTGGTATGTAGAGGCTTCCGACAATAAATTCAGTATTCGATAGATGCAAGGAAAATACTCTTCAATGCTATTTTTGTGACCTATTTGGACTAGGTAATCTAATGCTGATCTGTTAATGCTTTTTACAACCTGAAATCTGATTGAATCACAACGAAAAAGAGCCTGTGTTCATTGAAAATCTTATTACCTGTCAATGAAATCGTGTCCGATCATTGTTGTAATTCAGACATTTTTCCAGATCTTGCACTCCGCGTGGAACATAGGGCTACAAGCTTTCGCAGTCTCACTAGGGGTGCGCGGGTCCCCGGCATTTGGCCCAAATCTCAAAAGAAAAAAAAAAAAATAGGTGGAGCTACTAACCTCACACCGAACATCCCTTCTTTTTCAGACCTTACTGATTGTCAGTAAACTAGTTGTCATTTGGAAGTGAGTGTGTCGGGAATTGAACCTTTTCTATGAGAAAGGTTATTTATTGACAACACTAGTGTTTTTGTCTCAATAATAGCGATGTGTAAAGATCAATAGAAGCATAAGAAAACTAATGCAGCAATTAAAAGGCAGAATATTAAGATGGTTGAAACAACAATATAAGTTGGTTTTTGAAAGGGGAGGAAACTGTCATACCCCCTATATTCATGTAATGAAGGCTAAGTTGTCACCTGAAGTGGTGACGACTAGTGGTGTCCGTCAGGGATGCCCATTATCCCCATTTCTATTCAATTTCATCACAGATATTGTACTAATGGACTTAACACTAACTCACTTCAGCGATTGGCTTGCTACCAGGGAATAATCTCGTTGACTTAGAATATGTAGACGATATAGTCTTTCTACGTGGTGAAGACGCTAACAAAATGCAGAGTCTTCTGAACACCTTGAGCTGCAATCTACGAATGTTTGGGATGCGATTCGCTCCCGACAAATGTAAGATGATGTTACAGCACAGGGCTACACTGACTCCTAGTTTAGAAATAGGGAGTGAAGTGGTAGTGCACGTTGACCATATCCGGCTAGCTATCGACCAAAAGGGCGTGTGCACTGCTCATCAGTCCACTCCGTCCTCCTTTATGGCTGTGAGACCTGGCCATTGAGAGTGGAAGACATGAAAAGGCTAGCTGTCCTCGATCATAGGTGCCTGCGTTCTGTCTCCTGTATGAAGTGGTATAATAAGGTGAGCAATATTTAGGTTAGGCGTCGAGTGCTAGGTAAAGAGGGGAAATCAATATACGAGGTTGTGAAATTACACCGACTAAGATGGTTAGGACATGTGTTACGTATGCATAGTCATCGCCTTCCTGGACAACAGGCAATGTTAGCTGACATGGAGTCAGGCTGGAAAAGAGAAAGCTAGTGGTCGTCAAACCGAAACATGACACCAGTCAATGGAGTCCACAACAGTCAGTTTAAGCCAGCCACATAGGAAGGTGTAGACTTCCTGGTCGGGGTCCTCCGGGCAGTGAAAATCAATGGTTGGAAACAATTGGTGATATGGCTCAAAATCATTCTCAATGACTACGGCAGATGCATTCACTCCTTGTGACTTATAATTTCCAATGAAACTTTATTGTTCTTCGTTATTACCGTTCCTTTGTCTCACACCTCTGTTCACTGTCTCTAATATGCATTTCTTCTCTTGCTTTGTGCGCTACATGGAGTGTGGCGACTTGAACTGCCGCACCTAGGTGAAAAATTCTATGTCGAAAACAGGCAGACAGACAATGAAGGAAAGTGGCTGTATACAAATTTCTTCTGAGCACACAAGTTCACTCTCTTTAGGTGGATTTCAGTTGCTTCAGGTGTGTGCGTATAAAATGAATTCGTAAGGCAAAATTAGAACTAGATGGAATATTGTAGTTGACTTCGAAGCCTTGTTAATAACATCAACTTTACGTTCGGTATCTACAAAGGTGAGCTAAAATAGTGTTATGATTAGACTTTGATTATTCTTCGATTATCCGTGTAGGATGATGTCCAGTAATCAGATGATAAACCGGCGTAACTGTATGCTGAATGTAACTAGCTCTATGGAAGCGGCCGAGCTGATACATTCACATAGAAGAGGCGAAATTACGTAGTTTGTCCTTATTTCCTCAATATTAAATCAGAAACGTTGTGAAAAGACCAGTGTACCTTCTTCTGTCTGTTTCGTTTCATTAATTAAGTTTTCTAATGTACTAGTTGGAGTATTCGCTCAGTTTATGCAATGATTAACTAAGCCCACCTTTACATATATAACAATTGACATGACTTAAAGTCTAAATATCGATTAGAGTGCACTGGCTTTTGATAAATCCTAGTGCATAGTTCACCTTCCTCTGTTCGTTTTGCTTTTACTGTCTAGCAAAACTAATTCTTTAAATAAGAGGGTTTGTGAGGATTTCGTTTTATTTACATATAATGCCCATCAGTGACTAATTACAAGATGAGGTCCTTTGCAGGCCCAGTGACTTGTAACCAGCGACGTTCATCAAGTCGCTTGTGAAGATAAGTCCTTACAGATAACGCTGACTGGCTGTAGGACTGTATATGACGAATGGGCAGAAGTTAGAATTTATAGGCCATTGGGTTCTCCCATAGAGCCGCTGAACGATCAACAGGATCATCCATTAACCTGAAGGTCCTGGGTGTGGTCCCCCCAATAGGGATGTACTGATGAAGAGTGCCAAACTTGGACGAAACAGCTGTACAGTTCTCTCAGGTTTTCAGTCATTCTCTATTCATATCGCTTTGCAGTCTAACCTGAAAATACTCCTAAGAAGTTGGGTGAATTTAAATTGATATTATTATTATTCCCCTGGATTCCGAGTGGTCTATAGGGTTTAAATAGCAGACCTCCATTTTGTTCCGTTCTCTTTAGCTGGCTTCACAATTATCCATAAGCTTTCATCTCCTCCTCACACGATATCCTCCATGTCACCCTCGAACGCTATACCAAATAGTCGTTCCGCACTTGGGTTCCACTCGAGGACTTGGGACGAGATGTCACTACGTGGCCTCCTCAGATCCTGTCCTCACACCCGACTTACTGTACCCCCCTGGTCACGACTTTCCACTAGAACCCGGGTAACTACCTACCTACCTACCTGAAATAGGGTCAGTCACTAGTGAGCATCAGATTGACATTCAAGTGTTGGTTTGCAGGGATATGATTCAGTTCAGGATTTTATCATGAACCGACATCGGTTAGAGGACCATCGGAAAACCTGAGATTACTGGAATTATAGAACACCACATTGCCCAAGTTTAACACACATAGAGTAGATCGCTTATGCTGCTAGATGACAAGGAAAAAAGGCTGGATAGTGTTTCGTAGTCAAACTAATTCCGTACTTCACCACTATGATAGACATAAGCAGATTTGAGGGAAAGTAAAATTCAATACCCAGACACTAGGAACATATGATAGGCTATATGATAAGCATTTGAATAATATTCCTTTACGTTTCAAGAGGATCATAAAGCTTTACGTCTTAGCTTTTAAGTTTTAGTGGTCGTGTTGGAGTAGCTAGCCGCACGTCCAAACTTCCCTCTTTACTTGGTTTACTATCGGCTGGCTTATAGCGAGGTTTATGAGTGTATCGGCCGGGAGTCGAACCCCGAACCATCTGCGTGATTGATGAGCATCCTACCAGTAAACTAACGAGACCGACGAAGACACAAAGAAAAAAGACTTAGCATTTTTGAAAATTATAGTTTTATTTTTATTCTTTAATAATACTTAATGAACGTGGTTCACAAGCGGAAACTTTTTCAATAGCTTGTTTTTCAATTGATTTTTTAAGCATTTTTTCAATATGCTTTTTCATTTCATGAACTTCTTTCAATTTTGCTTTTTTCGGTTTCATATCATGTGTTCCTTTACGAAGTGATTTACACGATTGTTTTTGTAAAGATTTTTCACTTTTCCCAGATTTAACACCTTTAGGTAGTGTAGTTTTCACTTTTAATTTTCCTTGAGGCATTTTATTCTGAAGATCAATAAATATGATAAATACTATTAGTATAATGAAAGATAAACAGAGGTAGGGGGTTGGTGTATGATAAACACAGAAAGCTTATACGTATACAATAGTTGTTAGATTGACTGTTCCAGTTACAACATATAACTTTATACAAAAAAGTACAACAGCCCGACTTACCAGACGCAATGTATCCGACTGCTGACCAAAAGGCGTGTGTATGTGTGTGTGTACTGCCCAGCAGTTTGCTCTGTCCTCTTATGGCTGTGAGACATGAAAAGGCTAGCTAGCTGTCTTTTATCATAGGTGTCTGCGTTCTGTCCTCCCATGTTGGACGGTATAATAGGGTGGGCAAATATTTAGTTGGTTAGGCGTCGAGTGCTAGGTAAGGAGTGGAAATCAATCGACGAGGTTGTGAAGTTACCTCGATTGACAGAGATAGTTAGAACATATGTTACGCATAACTAGACATCGCCTTCCTCGACAATAGACAATGTCAGCTGACAGGTTGGAAAAGAGGTAGTTAGTGGTGGTCAAACCAAAATATGGCTTCATCAGTCAGTGAAATACATAACAGTTAGTTTAAGTCAGCCAGTCACGTAGGGAGGTGTAGACTTCCTGACTGGTTGGGATCCTCAGGATGGTGAAAACCGATGAAGCCTGGAAATAGTTCTCAATAGCTAGAGCAGATGCATTCACTCTTTGTGATTTATAATATCCAATAAAATTCTATTGTTCTTCCATATTACTATCTTTGTTCGCCTCACAATTCTGTTTATTATCTCTGTTTAATCTCTTCTCTTGTTTTGTGTGCTACATGGAGTGTGACAACTCGAACTGCTGCACATCTGTGTATAGTTCTACTTTGAAACCAGCCAGTCAGTCAGAGTCCATGTAATGAAAACAAAAACAAAAACGCAAAACAAATATGATGAACACAAATGTACAAGTGAAAGAATAGTGGCGACATGGGAAAGCTTAGGGGTTTAATCGATATGGGAGATTGCAACGAGTAGATGCATATGAACCATTGAGAACAGTTTAGGCCATATAACCAACAGTCTCAAGTTATGGGTTTTTAGTCTGACGAAGACCACAGCCAGGTAGTCTGGACCTACCTATGTAGCTACTTCCGCACATTTGTGCAAAGTTCTATGTCGAAAACAGACAGACAGACAGACAAATATACTTACAAAAGTATTACTGTTAGGTGTATTGATCTGATACTCGGTTGGTACATTTGAGAAACACAAAAGAATATGCAATATTTCATGCAGAAATATGTTCAGTAATAGGAATGTAATGAGTATAATGAACACTATAAGTGAACAATAATGTAAGAATATCAGAAAAGTGTTAGGGGTGGTCATATCAAAATCTGGACAGTTGATTTGATGAAGTAGCCATGTAAGGAGGTGCGGACTGTTGCGTTGAAGTCCTAGGACTAGGGATTATTGGTGATATGACTCAATGGTGCAGATGGATTCACTATTTGTAATCTTTCAGACACACTAGATACTCTTGTCTGTCTGTCTGTTTTCAATACAGAAGTTTGCAGCAATGTGCAGCAGTTCGAGTCGCCCCACTCCCTCCTTGTGGCACAAAAAGAAGGAGAAGAAAGTAGAAGAAATGCATAATAAAGACAGTAGACAGAGGTGTGAGACAAAGGAATAGTAATAACGAAGAACAAAACAGTTTCATTGGAAATCATAAGTCACAAGGAGTGGATGCACCTGCGCTTTTCATTGAGAACGATTTTGAGCCATATCACCGATTGTCTCCAGCCAACGGTTTCCACCGTCCCGAGGACCCCAAACGGGAAGTCTACACCTTCCTACGTGACTAGCTAACTTAAACTAACTGTTGTGGATTTCATTGACTGATGAAGCCATGTTTCAGTTTGACAACCACTAGTTTCTCTTTTCCAGCCTGACACTGTGTCAGCTAACAATGCCCATTGTCGAGGAAGTCGATAGCTGGGCATACGTAGCACATGTCCTAACCATCTCAGCCAATGTAGCTTCACAGTCTCATCGATACTCCTGATTTCTCGTTACTATTCTTTGTCCCGTACACTTAGTAGTGATTTCTGTGTATTAATCAAATCACGTAGTACTTCAAACAGGTAGAAGGATTTTATTGAAAAAACAAAAACAAATTGTATCTGCCATCTGTTGTAGAGGCTACACCATGTGTTCTCAACAGAATTATACTCCATATTTGAATCAGAAAATTCACAGAACTGCACTACATCGGTGTTATCTAGAAGGACTATACCATCTGTGTGCTTTAAATCAACTACAAGTTTGAGTGATAACGGTTTAATCCGCATAGATCTGAATCACAGATTCACATTCATCAACATGTCTTTTTCACTGTTTAACTGGAATTCAGTTACCTAGATCAGGTTTTGAATGTTTTAAGCTATGAGGCACACGCATTGTAAGGGTTGATGACACTACTTAGCTGGACAGCATGGAGCACATTTTGTTCGACAAAGGTCCTTTTGGATGTCGGTATACCTGTGTTCTAGAACTTGTTGACGGATGAACCCTAGATCTATCTGGTTTTCTAAAGTTTATCTTTTCCTAGCCTCAATTATTTTATGTATGACTACGCCCCCAACGATACTGGATTAGACAAGCTGATTCCTCTTAACCATCACAGGAAGCTTTGTTCCCGATAAATAGAAAGTGGGATGCCTAACAGTACACATTAGTATTGACTTCCCAGACATTACAGCATCACAATTAAACTGCATTTAAACCAACCAACCAACTCTCTCAGAGACAAATTTTGTCGGCTTAAGGATGCAATAGATCCAACTGACAAAAATTATATAATTTACCAAATACCATTTAGTGACTGCGAGGTCAATTACGTAAGTCAAACTAGTATATCGGGGTCAACTAGATTCTTGGAACATGAAAATTTAGCTAGACCTAGAATGATTGACCTTTTTTTTTTTTTTCCTTCACGTTCCCAGTGGAACATAGGGCCTCAAGTTAGTGGCTTGGAGTTTCTGTAGCAGTGGTGTTTATTTTACAGGATGAGGTTGCTAGCCTCATGCCCAACCTTTCCTCTTTACCAGCATTATTTCTGGCTTAGCGAGGTAAAGGAGTGAGTCGTCCAGTGGCCGGGAATCGAATCCCGGACCATGCGCATGGTCAGCGAGCGTCCTAACCGCTGTGCCACCGACGCACAGCTAAGTTAAATAACCTAGAAAAAAGCTCAACCATCGCACTACATTCACTTGTATGTAATCACAAAATAGGGTGAGACAGTGTGAAAATATTAAGTAGTATATAAGTGTTGGTTTGTAGGGATTTGGTTGGTTTCAGGATTTCATCATGAGCTGACATTAGTTAGAGAACTAATACTTACTTACTTTACTTCGGCTATCTCCTACGGGAGGATGAGCCGGCTTCATGAACGTCTCGAATCATCGCTGCCCAGGCGCGGCAATTTGTAAGAGAGTTCATGAAGTTTCATGGGAATTTGGTACGAGTGATTTCCCCAGAACTAATGTTAACTCATGATGAAATTAAGTAGTATAGTTACGTTGAGAGAGAGGTTGTGTTTACCGACTCAACAACTCACACATGCAGTCGGAATGACGCAACGCCTATACCGGAGATATGGAAAGTCTCAACAAACAACAAATGGAAGTTGGAGACAAAAAGAGAGGGGAAATATATGAGACAAATTTTGAAACCGCGTGACTAAAGTTGATGTGATTATGAGTGGCAAAAATTTATACTTGAAACGTCATCCAGTTGTTAATACTTCATCGCTGTATGATATTTAAAATAAACTTATCTAATCCAGTATGGAATCACATTTTATCACAGTGCCCAAAGTTCTACACCTACACAATTATTTTAGACAAAATATATCTTGCCATTTTTAAACACCTCTGAAGTCAAGCCATCAGATCCTGATGCTTTACTTTTTTTTAATTACAGAGGCATTTCGCAGAATCCGTTTCAGATGGGGGATTTACTTTGATATTTTATTTAAGGTTGGGTTGGTTGATGGGGAAATGTCATGTAGATGGAATCAAGTTGAACTGCTCTTCAGTGTTCAAAATAACGTTTGAGCATCTTGAAAAGCTACTGAAGTCTCATTCTTCACAGAAATCATTTCAGCTTCCGTACTTCTATAAGATTTTACTCCTTAATACACTTGAGTAGTTGGTGGGTATTACCTACTGTTGATGCCTTCCAAAAAATTCTACCTCTTGTTATCTGATGCTTCTCGCCGTTGTTATGAAGAATAAAGTAAAATTCGCCGCATATCATGTTAAGATAAGGCTGACTGACTAACTGGTTTCACCGTAGAACTTTGCACAGATGTGCAGCAGATCCAGTTACCACACTACCTCCTTGCAGCACACAAATCAAGAGAAGAAAGTAAAGAGGGATTCAAAGAGGAGACATAAGAAACAGAAGTGTGAGGCGAAAAAAATAGTAATATGGAAGAACAATAGGATTTTCTTGGATATTATAAATCACAAAGAGTGAATACATTTGCGCCAATCATTGAGAATGATTTACATCCATATCGTCAACTGTCTCCAGCCATTGGATTTTACCATCCTGAGGACCCCAACCAGTCAGGAAGTCTACACCTCCCTACGTGACTGGGTGACTTAAGCTGACTGTTGTGGATTTCCTAGACTGATGAAGCCATGTTTCAGTTTGACCACTACTAACCTTCTATTTTTCAACCTGATAGATCCTATTTCAGCTAACATTGCCTGTTATCGAGGAAGGCAATCGATGGGCAGACATGTGTAACACATGTCTTAACCATCTCAATCGGTGTAATGTTATAACCTCGTCAAGTGATTTCCTCTCGTCGATTGAACAGAAACGATCGTCTTGTTCCGAACGCTTCGGAAGGAGCTAATTAAATGCATTGGTTTTTCCAACCTTCAGCTGCTTCTTATCGAATATCTTCAATGCTGTTTCTATATCATACTGGCTGCATTACCTAGTTTCCTTTGATTGGATATTACTTTGCTCGATTAACTCCGTATATACAAATGACATATTCATTAGAGTTTGAGATATGTGAGAGCTTCTTCGCATTTTGTATTTTATGTCTATTTGGTCGTAAGTGTAAACCTACACCAGCTAATGTATAATGTGAGGGCAAAAAGTTTTCCTCTCCATCGATAACTTATTACAAAGTAATCCACGTGTTCATCACTGATTTAAAGTCAGTTGACAACAGGTTGCATGTCTCACCTCATATTTACAATTAGTGCTGGTTAGGGACAGATGAATATCTGAATAGAATTGCAAAGACATCTTTGACAGTCTGTCAGCATAGTAGTGTTTCGGAACTCTCATCTGGCAATGTGACTGCATTTGAGCGTCTTGCCATTTGCACAGAAATGGATAGTTTCTGATAACTCTTCCTTCGCTTGGTCCGATTCACAACCAGTGGGTGATTAAGTGAAAATTACAGACAGACATCGACGAGTATCACCCTCCCTACTTCTGACATTCACCTGTACATCAAACAAACGACTGTTCACTGGTACCTGGTCAATCAATAATTAAGCTTAATGAAATCTATATACAAGTATATATTCGAATAGTAACGGAAAAACCCATTGTTATTTGAAGGGAATAATTTTTAAATTTATCATCTTTAGGAAAAAGAGTTGAATTAATAACGGGATATGGCAGTTTCATTCAGTGAGCCCTATATTTCGAATGTTGAAAGCCCTAGTATGCGGTTTATTAGATTATCGAACTTCCCAACGCTATTGAAACTATGAATTCAGAAAATACAGCTTGTGTAGGGCACTACAAGCAGCTGTAAACTTAGACGACCCATTAATTGTTTTCTTAATTGAAAATTACATACTGGGATAACGTATGTTCCCAGCTAGCAATTTTTTCGGGCGCATTGCGGACTTTTTGGGGCAAAAACTTCGGGTAGATCTACTTACGTGGGACAGTGTCCCGCAGTCTGCCCCAAAAAGTCTGCAATGCGCCCGAAAAAAATGCTAGCTGGGTTCCACGTACGTGGATATGGATCAACGCTCAGCCGATTCTCCCAGCGTTAGGGAAAAGAACCAATCTGTGCGACAATATAACGTTGGTCCAATGTCACCATTACACTGGAGACTAGTGTTGTATATGGGAAATTGCCTAGCAATT